AGGTGAGATGACTTCCTTTGCACACAGAGTCTTCTCCAACCACCCAGAACATCGAACGAAAGTAACCCACCAACAATTGTATGCTTAAATGGCTCTATCAACCATAAAAAATTTGCTATCAAAAAGCTTGGGTTTTTGGCATGAATATGGAGACAAAGTGAAGGAGATGTTGTTTTTAGTTCATAACAATTGAGAAAGAAAGTTTGAGTATCGATTTTAAGTGCATTAAAAGCTTCAAACCTTGGTTGTACAAGGTTGTTGGGTTGTACAAGGTTGTTGGGAGTATTCATGGCAATGGCAATGTTGTAAATACTTGAAGATGATGAGGTTGAGAGGTAAAAAGGCCATTTTCGAAAAAAAGTAAAAAAAAAAATTTAATGGCATTTTCGTAAATAAAATGAACATGTGGGGTGGATAGGACAAAAAGAAGAAGTTAGTTTTGTGTTTGACCATGAGTTTTGAGTCAAATTTGCAAAAACCCCAAATATATATGGTATTAAACTATAGTAAATATTTCTAAAATTAACACTTTATTGACTCGAAGTCTTGTTGGGTTGACGAATATGTAAGTGTGTAAACACTAGACCATTTAAATTAACATATTAACTAATATATTTTATATTATATATTTGATTAACATATTAAGCGAGTATTCAGAACCGAACCAAAATCTCATAAGTACCTATTGTGTATAGGAATGGTTTATCCGATATACCCGGAATCGAATAGTTCCTACCCCAAATCGAACCGAATATCTCAAGCCTTAATTTTTTTTACAAAAAGAACAAAGATAAATCAACTACTATGGTATGGTTTAAAGTGGGGGTATTGGATTCAGAAATTGAATTGAATCTGAAAGAGTTAGACTTCGTTATTCAATCAAAGATTTTACCCAATTTTTGAAAATTATTGTGTTATTGGATTTAGGGATTTTCTAATTCAATTAAATATTTGTATTATTCAATTTTTGGTGGACTGTATGATAATTGTATTAGAATGAAATTTCATAGAAAATTTTCTATAAACTGTAAAGAACGAATTCTTGTCATTAGGCTCAGATTTGAAGATGATTGTTTATATTGTTAATCTATCAGATATATAGGTCAAAATTATTGATTATTATAATATGTGAGATTTGAAAACATAATTTTCATTATAAATTTACTAATATTTTAGGGAATTTTGCAAAACTAACCTAAAAATTTGAGTCAAACACAAAACCAACTTTTTTTTGTCATTACTATTCACTCTTGAAAACCCTAAAATCTCCTCATGTTTCTAACTATTTACAAAATTGCCATTATTATTAAATATTATATTAATTTCAAAAAATTTTAAAAAACTATTACACTCTAAACATTTCTCCTTATTTACCACAATGTCATTGTCATCAATATTTGCAACCACCAAAAACCACCATTGATGAGCTCTTTAAGCTCAAGATATGAATTGTCAACCACTTATTTCACTTTCTAAACCAACAATACTTCATTTCCTCTCATTTCCTCTTTATTTTCATCTAAACAATCCTCATAACTCTCATTTTCATAAACACAAAGTTCATAGTTTCGATTTTATTCACAAGTGAATCGTAAAAATTGCTTCTTTTGCTCATATTTGGATTCTGGACGGTGGAAAAGCTTGGAAACAAGCTTTAAACCGGTGTCAAGGTAACTATTTACATGCTTTTCGTCATATCTCTGATCTATATCGCGAAAGTAGAATGTATTATATTTCTACACATAACGATGCAGTCTACTTGTCAACGCACATGTTACTTTTGCAATTGACCAAAATAAATTTTTTTAGTAATGTAGACCTACAAGTACGTCAACGTCTTTACCTTTGAAACCAAAAACAAAAAAAAATTGGTAGACTTACTAAAAAATCTACATAAAAGAGGTTAGTTGTGCATTTGACAAAAATTTTAACTTACCATAGTAGACTTTCTTGGAAGTCTACACTTTGTAGACTGCTAGGGAAGTCTACTGAAGGTCAGTTTTGCATTTGACCAAAACTTTGACTTCGTTGAATAGGTTTCTTTTGTATTTGACTAAAATGTTTAGAAACTGACTAAAATTTACTTTACGTGTAGACTTCATATGCAGTCTACAAAACTTAGGAAAAAAAAGTAGACTGCATATGAAGTCTACTATTTTATGTTGGTCAATTGTAAAACTAACATGTCCGGTTATAGTGTAGACTTTTACTGCAGTATACAGTTACGTAGACATTTAGTTTTGTCTACTAGTAGAAAGTCAACTTTGGTCAATTGCAAAACTAATCTCTTTCAAACAAATTTAAAAATGTAGACTACATAGTAAGTCTACTTCTAAAAGTCAAACACTTAACGAATTCTGGTCAATTGCAAAACTAACTTTTTAAAAAATGTAGACTAACAAAGAAGTATACTCGTATAAAATCACATCTTTTTTTCAAATACAGAAAATAACCCGTGAATTTGGCAATTGCAAAAACCAACCTAGACATAGACCTAATTTGCAGTCTACCGAATGTAAACTGAATAAAACGTCTACACATCTGTAGACTGAATATGTAGTCTACCTAGCAAAATCTATCAAAAGTGGATTTGTGTATTATTCATTAAGTTTTTTCAATTTTTTTTATGAAAGTGTGTGTTAGTTAATCATAAGGGTCTTGAATGATTTTAAGAAGATAATCTGTTATAAAGGAAGTTATCAAAAATTTTGTTTGTCTATATTGTTAGCTTAAAATTTGTAGACGTACTTGTAAGTCTATGATATAATTTTATCAAACATGAAATTTTGGTTTGCTAATTATGTAAACCGTATTGTTTTGCAGGAGAATGTTCCGAATGTTATTGACAACTAAAAGAATAATGAATTGGTTTTTTTCTCATTTATCACACCTTAAGCTATCATGCCTTTTGCTTGTTTTTCTTACTCGTGCGGCCTACACATTATTACAGCCTTTAGTTGCTGTAAGCGAGGCGACATGTATATGAAAGGTGAAGAGAGGGAACTGTATGGAAATGAAACCGATGATTTGGAATGCGAAAGTGTGAGTTATATAGGACTTGATGATGAGGAGGAGGAAGGAGAAGGCTATGTGAAGAAGCCATGAAACAATGGTTACAACAAGGTTCTTTAAAAGAAGTTGAGAAGACAAAGAAATGTCATTGCTTGGTGGCTGTACAGATATACTATACAGAGAGGTTTATGACGTTAAAAGAGCAAAAAGAAACCGACTCTATCCAGCGCCTTATCCAATGGGTCACAGAGTCTTTTTGCTGTACTACATGCTACACTTGGACCTCTTGGTACAGTTGCTCTAGCAGCACTCTGATATATTCCAAAAAGATAGGTACACGAGCCTCAACACCCCATGCAGAAGTTGCTTTGTTAGCCCTCAAACAATCATATTTATGAAGATCTTTGATCTGCAGTAGCACACACACACAACAAAATTTACAAAAAGGCAGAGAGTAGCAAAAGAATTTTTTGGTCTAACAGCGTTTACCTTTCGGCATGTTTCCTCGTGAAACTCCTTCTTGTTAGGTGCTTTATGAAAGTACAAATATCCTCCAAAAATCTCATCAGAACCTTCCCCAGAAAGAACTATCTTTACACCCAGTGATTTGATTTTCTCGACATAAGAAACATGGGAGTGCTGGCTCTTATAGTAGTCACGTCATAGGTCTCAACATGATATATAACTTCTTCTATGGCATCTATCCCTTCCTGAACTGTAAAGTGAAACTCATGGTGGCGAGTTCCTAGATAGTCAGCAACTTCTTTACCAGCTTTAAGATCCGGAGATCCCTGCAAATGAAAGCAAAGGTAAATAACAAATTTTGATGAAAACATTTTGAGTCGTCAGGTGAAAAGCGTTGAAGACCTTTAAACCAATACAAAACGTGTGCAAAAGGCACATCAGTCATTAGTCTTTTTATAACAGCCTGCAAAAGTCAACGATGACATTATCATCAATTAGAAAGTATGAACCTTGAGAAACTACACAAGCAATGTAAAAGAATAGAGAGCTCCAAGAGTTTACCTTCTCGAAAGTACTGCGCACCAACGAGGGATCATAAGGGGTTGAAGGAACCAACTCATTGAACCATGTAGGGTTGTACCACCTTATGAGACCACCTACAAGAAATGTAACTCAATCAATTTGAAGTAGTGTGGCCATAGAACATAATGAAGTTACTATAAAATAGATGTGGCTTGATATGAGATGCAAAACCTTGTTTACTGGAATAGATGTGGCCTGAGGGGAAAGCCATAAACTGTTCAAAATCATCACTAAGTGCTTTCATCTCCGACGCAAACCAGAAAGAACATGTGGAAGATTGTTTAACCAAAGAGTAAACCAGTAATCAATGAAAAGGACACAAACAAGACACGTAACAAATACACTTCAAAGCATACCATCGAGACCCCAGCCAATGTAGAGTGGGATGACACCGATTGGATCCCTTAAACAAAAGTTGATAATGTGGGAAACAAACAGAGTCATTGACAATATAAGGTTACAAGTTGGGATAACTTAGATAGTAGTACAAACTAGTATCCTCTTCCTCTGCCTCTGAAGCCTCCACGACCACCACCTCGTGAAGGAAATCCTCTACCACCTTATGGAGGAGGTCCTCTTCCTCTGAAACTTCCTCGTCCTGTTGAAGGACCTCCTCTACCCCTGGAGAATCCTCCACGACCACCACGGCCACCCGGTGATTGACCCCTACAAGAACAAAAACATACAGTTACAGAGATGAACACTTCTCAGCTAACATTACAGGGAAACTAAACTAACTACTGATGTATAAGAAGTTTTCTCCTGGAGCATAAGAAGTAGCTACAATACCTTCCATCATTTTGATGGTAAACAACTGAAAAAGAAAACAAAAAAAACATAATTAACCTTAAATAAAACATAGAGAGAGAGAGAGAGAGGTTACAGATTCATTGATGGCGCCAAAGATTTCATCAACTTTACCAATCTGAGTCATGTTTAGTAAGTAGATAGGAGCATTAAAATAAGGAATCTTCTCCTGTGAGAGTTTAGTCACAGCATCTCCCTCACAAGCATGGAGAAAAGTTGGAACCTCTGTAACAAAACAAACAAAGTAACCTCAAGTCAATTAACAAGACTATCCACTGATGTCAAAATTTAAAGTCTCAAAATTTCATACAGAACTCAAGTATATACACTAACCCACGACTTCTTCAGGAGGCCCTTCATCTCTATACCCACCAAATCGACCTCCTCCACCACCAAATCGTCCTCCTCTGCCACCAAATCGTCCTCCTCTGCCACCAAATCGACCTCCTCCACCACCAAATCGTCCTCCTCCGCCACCAAATCGTCCTCCTCTGCCACCAAATCGTCCTCCTCCGCCACCAAATCGTCCTCCACCACCACCAAATCGTCCTCCGCCATCTTTTCCTCCTCTTCCCAATACTATCCACTGATTAGGTTTTTTTTTAACCAGAAAACCCTAAAAAGGGTATTTATATGTTGTGTAGTTTTTTCGGTTAGGTTAAATTGGTTTGGTTAAATTTTGATTGTTAAAAATCGAACTTGGTTAAATCCGGTTAGGTCAATTTGGTATCAGTGTGTAGACTTTTCTGTAAGTCTACAACTCCGTTTTTTTTTTTTGCTTTATTGTTTGAGCAAACCCTAAATGTAAGTAGACTTTATTGTAAGTCTACTATAACCCTAAACCACAAATTTGATACCCTAAATGTCTATTTGATAATCAAAAGTTTCTTAATTATTATATTAAATAACTAAATATAGAAAATATAAACTTCTCAACATTAGTGTGTCAAAAAATAAAAATAAAATCAAATCAAATATCAAACCCTAATATATGAATCTAACCCTAAAAGACATAGCATGTTATACCATTTTGTTGGGAAACCATATCACATTATCTTTCACATGGTTACCAATTCAATATAAATTCTATTAAAATTTTCACTTATATGAAATTTTAATTTATATATTTCATACTAATCTTTATATTGATGATTTATTTAAAAACTTCCCAAAAATTATTTTTAAACATTTTTAAAATTAAATTATAAGATCAACTGACGATGTAGACTATAGAATACGTCTACAAAGTAGACTTCTAAGGAGGTCTACAAATGTGTAGTCTTCTTTCTATTACGTGTAGACTTTCAAAGGACAGAACCGTAAAATAACTGTCTATTTTTTTGTTTGGTCACAAGGGTTAAGTAGTAACTTCACAACCCCTTTAGGTTGGTTTTGCATTTGACTCAATAAGGGGTACACTTTTAGGATTGAAATGAAATTTTAGGTTGGTTTTGGAAATTTTCCCAATATTTTATCATCTTTATTAATGATTATAAAATATATAATGTCGAAATTTGTGTTTTTCATAGAACTCCTTTATCTCTAATGGCTACATATTCACTATGTGATACATGATTAGTTCGACTATTACCATTTCTCATTAGTCCATTTTTACTCAATTGTTCTTAAATGATTTTCTCTTCGATATAAACTAAAAATGAATAAAGGTTTTGTTTGTCAAATTTTTATAAAATATTTCAATTTAGAGGAAACAGCCAAAAGTATAACTATGAACAATTTTGGTAACACTAGTATCCTCTGTATAACTACGAATGAAGTTTTTGGAGGGAATCTAAAATTTCGGTGGCGCTTAAAGCGGTAAAAACAAATATCTCTCAATTTTTCTCCTCAACCACACGAATATCGCTCACTTTTCATATCCCATCTCTCTCACTCTCTCTCTCTCCATCTCTCTCTCCATATCTACCTCTCTCCTCTCTCTATCTATTGAAATTTTGAAGAGCTCACAGCCATGACTCATCCGCATCAGGAGTACATGAGGATGGAGGAGTTGAAGGCATACAATGACATACTTGGGTTTGTCGCCGATGCACAGTACGGGATTTTGACGAGGTGCCCTTGCGGGGGAAGCATTGTTAATGAGGTATCTCCGGCTAATAAATATCCCACAGATTTTGATACTCTACCGGGGAGGAAATACTTCACTTGCAACAAGTTTGAGATTACTTTCATTCCATTTTGAAAGTTGAAATTATGGTATCAATTTGTTTGAATATGACTGATGAAATTAGGGTTATTATCGGTTACTATGTGCAGAATGATGGCCTCCATTTCCGCCAATCATGGGTCTTTGCAATCGAGGATGAGGTTAAGAATATACTAAACCGTGTGGCTGAGATGGAGTCACAGATTAGTGAACTCAGGTCTGAGCTTCAGCGTGTTCACCGTGAAGGCTCCAGCTCAACTTACTAACGTTGTTGTTCAAATGAACGAGATTCCCTTGTACTCCATGTCATGTCCTTGTTTTACTCAAGTTTGTTGTTTCTGCGGCTTAGAAGTCTTTACTTTCTGGATGTTTAAGACATGTAAAACTTTCTTTGTTTTGTTTTGTGGTTGTTTAAGATTTCTAAAAATCTAAATTTTCGGATCATGTTGTTGTTTCCCTTGTTCTCTTGTTCTTTCTTAATCTCCTAATACATGACAAGTTAAATCCTAATACATGAAAAGTTAAAAAAAATTAGATAAGCAATAACCAAGTTTTGTTTTGCAAAGGAACAACAGCCAGGTTGCAAAAAACACAATCTGATATTAAAAAGTAACAACAAAGGTTCCGACATACATTATTCGACATGAAACATCAACTTCACTTCTGCGCTTCCTTCACAAACGCCTCAAGCGGCCCAACCTTTCCTCGAATTTTTCAAGTGCCTTTGTCACTCTCTCTAGTTGGAACCCCAAAACTTTCCATTTTCTTGATCACATCCTCCTACATCTTCTTCAGGTCTCCCACTGCTTCTACTCGAGGAACATTTTCAACAAATTTATGGCCTTCAAGGACTGCATGTTCCACGTTTACTTTTCGTGCGGCAATATCTTCTTCATACATGTCTTAAAAAAGACTGAATATCCTTCATTGAGACGCTTAACCCAGCTGTCTATGACAACATCTGGTTCATCACGGTCGTCCTCCTGTTCAGTTAGGACGGCTAAAAGAGCATCTTCTTCCTCACTTCTGGTTGGCAGGATGCTGTCAATATCCTGAAACTAACAACCAAAAATAGATTAAAACAGTTACATACTTGTTCTCAATTTTATATAGTTTTTCTCATACAGTGTTACTAAATTATCCGAGTTTTACCACTTTTACTTACTTTTCCTCATACAAGTTTACCAAATTATCCAAGTTTTACATAGTTTTCCTCATACAGTTTTACCATATTATCCAAGTTTCACTTAGTTTTCTTAAGTTTTCCGAAGGAGTTGCAAGAAACACGTACTGTTACCGTATCCAGTTCCCGATTAACGCTCGCAAGAGGAAACCCTTTCATTTCAGTTTTTTTTTTTAACATAGTCCGACACATCCTCGAGGACTCTACATCAGCTCCTTCAACTGGTTCCCTAAACCTTCTTCTCAACTTTGGAATTGCCTCGAAAGCAAGAAGCTGCAAAACCAACATTATTTTAAATACGTAACAGATAATCTTGATGATAATGATAAAGTGATAATATTCTATTACTTACCTCTAGTGAAAGACAGAAACCTAGAAGTGGCCATAGTGTCTTCTCTTTCACCAGTCCTCCGAAATGATCCATTGTGTGAGAAATCTTCTTAAATATATAATCAAAGGAGTATCTACCCTACGGAAAGGACTCACAGAATTTCAGATCATCCAAAGCTCTTTGGAAAAAATCCAATACATCATTGGCTCCAACACCAACTTTTGTTTGCGCGCAAATCACACTTCCTAAAAAGAACGAAACCATCATCTTCAGCCTGTCTCTATGGGGTCCCATTTCCAAAATCTTTGCTTTCACATCCTCCAGCCTTCATGTTTCTCCCTCTTTGAAATGACTCCTCACAAACTTTTTACAACCCCTCTCTTTGTAGTCGAGCGAATAGTTCTTGCAGTTTAGGCCTGATATCAAGACGTGTTCCCTCAGCCCATAACGGATGGGAACACCATTGACAATAAACCACACTTCTCTCCTCTTCGCGACATCAGAAGTACGTAGTAACAACATCCACATTCCCTGAACCTTGTGGTTTGAGCTCTTCTTCTTTGCATTTGAATTTTCATTTGCATCCAATTTCATGTGGAACAAGTGACAGAATTGTGGATGCTCCTCAAACCACCTCTTCTCCGCATTACTTGGCAGAGGATTCAGAGAGTTAAACGTCTTAATAACGTCTACTAGTAGGCACTTGTCCCTAGCTTTATCTGCTTCTTGTACTTCTAAAGATGAAGAACATCCTGCTTGGTTTGATTGCCTCGATGGCCTCAAATTCCTGCAAGTTACATTTACTTAACGTCAGTTATATCAATTACACCAAATAGTTTTCTCAAGTTATTATAGTATTCCCTGGTACACCTGCATGTACACCTGCATATTATTAGTTTTACGATTTCCTCATTGTTTCACCAAGGTGTTCTACTAATACGTTTAGTTTTACCCATAAAATCCTAGTTCTACACATAAAATCTTAGTTCTACACATCTTTCCTTCACCAAAACATTAACAATTCTTACCTCCTTGTCATTCTCCCCATTCTCCCCATCCCCAATCTCTTCTTCACCAATTTCCTTATCTTTATCCGAGGCATCCTCCACATCATTTTCTTCTTCATCCCCATCACCTTTCACATCACCCATCTCACCATCATTTCCTTCTTCATCATCATCACTCGCTTCACTAGCTGTCTCAAACTCTTCATCATTCTCCGCATGCTCATTTGCATCGCTTGATTCTCGTTCTTCTTTATCTTTTTTCGTTTCTTCTTCTTTATCTTTTTCTGTTTCTTCTTCTTCTTCCTCCTCTGACTGCTGACTCTCCGAAGCTCTCGGTGGAGAAACATCATCTGTTCTCTGCTCAGAAACTTCTTCCTCAACATCCACTGCAGCGTTCACAAGGACATCTATCGGATCTTTATCACTCGATCGTTCTTCTGTTGTCTCCTTTTTTGTCTTCTTTCTTTTTCTATGTTTTTCTTTTATCTTCATTTCTTTCGTTGGAGTATCTTTCCTCTTACACCTTCTTGTTTCAACCATTTCGATTCCACAAAGTAACCAAAAACAGAGGGGATTGGAGAATGAATTAGAACGAAATCGAGAGAGGGCGATTTGGGGGAAAAAATAGGGTTTTTCAATTGCGAATTGGTTTCGACTCTTAGCCTTCAAAATGTTTTAATCAAGTGGATTTCAAGAATTTGGTTTGCGTTTTCTTTGGTTTAACCATTATTTACACTTTACGTTAACTTTCGATCGTGGTTTGATTTTATTCGGTTAACACTTTGGTACAATTAGGTAAAACTTGTAAATAACTTTGTTTTCCACGGCCCTATGGTCTTTTACTATCTTTCTCAATTAAACTATATTATT